GGGGGTGATATAGCTTCATCATTTGTTACTAGTTCCTGAACTTTGTAAAGAACATAGATAATCAATGAGAACAAGAAGGCACTACTCCTGCTTTCTCATACTCTTCTCTTTCTTCACAAAAACCTAGAGAGGAGGAAGCTTAATTTAACTCACACTCAAAGCTCATGAGTCACACAGTGTAACTGACCCAACTCACAATTTGGTTTCTCAAACCAGTTTCTTTTTTAAATTATATTTTATTTATTATACTATTACAGTTGTCCCAATTTTTCCCTCTTTTCCCCCTACACCCAGCCTCCCCCACCTTCTCAGGTAATCCCTGCACCATTGTTCATGTCCGTGGGTCATGCATATAAGTTCTTTGGCTACTCCATTTCCTACACTGTACTTCAGATACTCATAGTTATTTTGTAACTACCTGTTTGCACTTCTTAATTCCCTCACCTGCTTATCCATTCCTCTACACCACTCCCCACATCTGGCAATCATCAAAACACTCTCTGTATCCATGACTCTGTCTCTGTTCTTCTTGTTTGCTTAGTTTGTATTTTTAGATTCAATTGTTGATAGATTTGTTTTGCCATTTTATTCTTCATAGTTTTGATCTTCTTCTTAAATAAGACCCTTTAACATTTCATGTAATAATGGCTTGGTGAGGATGAACTTCTTTAGTTTTTTTCTTGTCTTGAAACTCTTTATTTGCCCTTTGATTATAAATAATAGCTTTGCTGGGTAGAGTGATCTTGGCTGTAGGTCCCTGCTTTTCATGACTTGGAATATTTCTTGCCAATTCCTGAAGCCTGCAAAGTTTCTTTTGAGAAGGCAGCTGACAGTCTTATGTGAACTCCTCTGTAGGTAATTAACTGCTTTTTCTCTTGCTGCTTTTAAGATTCTCTCTTTATCTTTAAACTTTGGCATTTTAATTCTGATATGTCTTGGTGTGGGCCTCTTTGAATTCATCTTTTTTGGTACTCTCTGTGCTTCCTGGACTTACATGTCTATTTCTTTCACCAAATTAGAGAAGTTTTCTTTTAATATTATTATTATTTTTTTTTAATTTTATTTATTTATTTTTAGAGAGGAAGGGAAGGAGAGAATGAAAGAAACATCAATGTGTGGTTGCCTCTCGTGAGTCCCCTGCCAGGAACTGGCCTGCAACCCAGGCATGTGCCCTGACTGGGAATCGAATCCTGATCGTGTGGTTCGCAGGCCGGCGCTCAATCCACTGAGCTATGCCGGCCAGGGCTTATTATTTTTTCAAATAGATTTCCAATTTCTTGCTTTTTCTTTTCCTTCTGGCACGCCTATGGTACAAATATTTCACTGCTTGAAGTTGTCCCAGGGGCTGCTTACACTGTCCTCATTTTTTTGGATTCTTTTTTCTTCTTGTTTTGATAGTTTGTTTTTTGCTTCCTTATGTTCCAAATCATTGATCTGATTCTCATCGGCTTGATCTCAGACCCAGTGGCCCGGCCATGGCCCCCCTGGTCCTGGATGCCCACCTGTGTGGCCACTCTAGAGTGACTCAAAACATCTCAAACTGCCCTTGTGAGAATGGGGTCCCTTTTTTCAGTATTCAGCTCTGACCCTGTTCGTAGAGTCATATCACATGCCTTGTCCTCTATTCCCTGGAAGGAGCAACTAGAACATTGTATGTGTCCCTTGTCTTTACCAGCATCCTGTTGGGCCTACAGGGCCTTGGCTTGTTTGCCAAGGTTACCTCCCAGTCTCCTGACCATGTGTAGAAACCTGAGGTTTATAAAGCTGATGTACAGGCAATATCTTGGCTCAGATATTCTAGGAGGATGATATCAACTCTTACACTGCAGAGTGTGTAGTTTTTGTAGGTTTCTGTCTTTGTGTATGTGTTTGTGTGTGTGTGAGAGAGGAAGGAGGGAAGTGTGTATGTGTGTGTGTGTATATATAATTTGAGTGAGTATACTTGTTTAAATGTGTATGTGTGTGTTTGTGGATAGGAAGGGCTAGATGTGTTTGCAGATGATAACACATACTATAATGGTGTATATTGAAGGACATTATTGTCAAATGTGGATATTCTGGTGGGTTGTGTTCAGTCAGGCAAAGAGTCAGGTGGTCTCAGGTGTTTTCAGCTGTCTCTCTCTGTTAGCATAGGTAGCTAGATATTAATAAAAGAAGGGAACAAAGGAAATCAGACATATAAGCATAATCAACTAGGAAGCATAAATCTGCTTAAGCATGAAGTTACAGCTTCACTCATTACCCAGGAAACCACCAGTCCATTCAATATAGATTACTGGGGGGAAGGACAGAACACTAAAGGGGGAGGTAAGCACATGTGCAGTAGGAGCAAAAATGGGGACCATAAAGACCTGTCAGTCTAGTCTGGGAAAAAGATCAGGTTGGACAAGGTATACAAGACCCCAGAAGATCTAGGAAAGGAACTGGTTAGGGGGAGTATCCAGTGCCAGCCTGTGAAAGCTTGGGGAGTTGATTGGTTAGTTTGAAAAGAAACAAGCCCAAGATAATATAACCCAGTTTAACAAAGAATCTTTTCTCCCCTCCCCTCCCCTGCCCTCCCCCTCCCTTCCCCTCCCCCCCCACCTCTCCTCTCTCTCTCTCTCTCTCTCTCTCTCCCCTGGTAACAGGTACCTAGCTGCTGCCTGGGGCCTGAGGCAGACTGTGTAGACTCTGAAGGACTAAGCTGTAATATGGCACAAAATGTCTGGACACTAGCCCTATTTCTAGGCCTAATGAAGGCAAGCTGGACTTTTTCCACTCATAAAGATGAGATATTAGAAACCTGGGAACAGTCTTTTATTTCCATACAAATAACTATTACCACTAGACCTCATCCTTCCTTGTGGGTCCCTGAAAATGCTTTTCTTGTGACACTACAAGCACCCTACTTTCACCAGCAACACCTCCTGCATTAGAGTGTGTGGAAGCCAGGTGGGTCCCTGTAAAAAATTCCTGAGTGGAGAGAGGAATGTTATAAAGATTTTGGCGAGGTTGAGCCACCAAATATGAGCAGAATGATGATCTTAGTGGTAATGTGGAAGCTCCCAGAAAGATGATCCCTGCTCCCTCTGAATTCAAAGAAGGGTCTGGTGTAAATAAATATTCTTATGTAAAAACAACAACAACACTGTATAAATCCAGGAAGATTAACACCCTCTCCAGCCTTGGCCTGGCACAGGAAAAGGGGAACTTACAGAAAGGAGCATTGGAACCATGTCAGAAGTGTGGGTGAGGGTTAGAAAGAGCTGAATTACTCTGTAAAAGAAAACAGGAGAAATCTGCATTTTTGCTATTGAGGAGAAGAGCAAAAAATGGGGGAAGTGGTAGAAGAGAGAGCTAAGAACTTGAGTAACATTAAAGTGGTATAGGGTTGGGGCTGGAGCCAGTGTTATAGAGGAAACAGAGGGCATTTTTAAGTCCAACAGTCTTTTTGAATCTATTTACAATTTTGCTGCATTAACCCCTCCATAGACCTCACAAGGAGTTCACATGTAAGGAAAAGGGCTGAAATCCTCAGCTCACAACAGCAAGAGCACTCAGGGATCAGCAAGAAGATTCCTAAACTGATACGACTTGAGAAAAACACAAACTCTAAACTAGAGGCAATGATGCGAAGGAAAGTCCTCCCCACCTTCCATCCCCACTCCCAGAGGAATCGTGAAATTTTGAGGAAGGGCATTTGATCTCCCATAGATCTTAGACTGAAACTTTCAACCAATTTTAGCCAGCACCTCAGGAGCAGTTGACTTCATCTGTTAAGAGGACCTTACCTGTAATGAAGACAGTCACCTCCAAAAACAGGGTACCTGCCTGTTCATTGTAGTCTCATTCTCAACAATTCATCAGCTCCTCCCTGGCTAGGGAAGGGTCTTGTGGGCATCACTGAAGCCTTGGGTGAGGGGGAAGCTTGAGAGGGTGAGCACTGTAAAGACTCTCCTTATCTGTTCTATAACTCACTGCCATTTATATATGGGTCATAATTCAATCAGTTGACCCTAGGATGTGAACACCATTTGTTCTAGTTTTTGAGAGATCAAAAGAAGGAGATTTGGTGCCTAGCCTCATGAGTGGAGAGTGAGAGAGCTCTTCTGTCTGATTTGGAGAGAAATGGTCTGTTCCTTTAGGAAACTCCAAGTGCTGGAGGAGTAGGAAGCAGGCACACAGAGGACATACATGCAAAGTAACCAGCACTCAGAGAAATGTGGGCAGCTGAGCCTTGGGAAAACATAGTCCAGAATTAAAAGAGGGGCTGGAATACCAGTAGTGAACTGGTGTCCAGTAGGCAACAGCTTGTTGGCACTGGGAGTTCTGAGCCTGGACTGGATTTGGAAGGAAGGAGGTCTGATTAGGAGGCACAGAAGACAGACAGGTCCTGTACAGTATTGAACACTGTATGAGACATTCACAGAATGCTCATCACTGGCTTTTAGCAATTCTAGTTTTCAACTTGGTTTAACTGGGTCATCTCAAGCAAGTTCACCACTTGATCACTAACAGAGGCCCCAACAGCTGTCCACAGTCAGGGGAACAGAAGGAGGCAAACACCAGATGACTGCTTACAAAGCTTAAGCTTTTTGTCAGGGTCAAAGCGCCTTGCCAGAGCAGCTGGGTGAAACCACAGGGAGGTAGGTTCTGTAAGCCCAGTCCATCTCTGAGACCCTGTTTGTTCCTTTCCTCAGAAGGAGCACCTGAAGAGGTTCCTCGGGGGGCACAAAATGCCTCTTAAGTATGCACAGCATTTTTAATGCTTACAAAGCTGTTTTACACCAACAAGTGGAAGGGTCATCTAACCCTCATCATCACTCACAGGCAAGTATCCTCTATATTTTATAGACAAGGAAACTCAGGCCCGAAGCCATTATGAGGCTTAAGGTCACCCAGAGGAAGCATGGCTGTCCTTTACACTACCTGACACTGGCCTCTGGCCTTGGACTTTAAGGACTCAGGACATCAAGGGACTATCTGATTGCATCTATTAAAGGCCAATTCGTCATCTGTATTTCAATCTGGCTCTGACTATTTAATGAGAAACTCCAAGAGGGAGGATGCAGGGAGCTGACATCTGAGAAGGCTGCCCACATGGGCCTCCTGCTCTCAGGAGAAGATCAGAAAGCCACATCCTTTGCTTTCTCAGACCTGGGAAATCGGTTCGCTACCCTGAGAATAAACCTGGGAATCGGTTCTCTACCCCGAGCCAAGGCCAGCCTAAGAGCTCTGCCCCCCACCCCGCCGGAGTCTTCGCCCTTACTTGGACAGCGCTTCCGGTCGGCGGGGCGGTGACGTCCGAAGGGTCACGTAAGCGGCGTGAGTCACGCAGCGGGCGGCGGGGCGGGTGCAGAGCGCGTAAACAGCGACCTCGGGCCAGAGCGGGGAGGGGGAAGGGAAACTAGGGGAGGCGAAGGGTGAGGGAGAGGAAGTCGGAGAGTAAACTGGAGGGAGGGCAGTGAAGGAGAGGTGGAGCGGAAAGGGAAGCCATGGGGCGGGGCCGTGGGGGGCGGGAGTAAAGGGAGGTGGGTACCCCCATCCCCGCTGCGCCGCCGCCCCTCCCGCAGGCCGGGCTAACCTAGACCCTCTATTTTCCCGGAGACCTAGGGTCGCCCGTCCTAGCACTTCTGCCCCTACCTGGATGCGGATATGTGTGTTGGGGTGGTCTCTCTAGTCTTTGGACATCCATATGTTTTTGCAGTGTTTTACCTGAAGTGTCAAGGATGTGCGTTTCACTTCCCGGCGATGATCTGTAGTTCTATTCCGGAAACTGACAAGAAATTTAGCGGTGGGTGTTTAAAGACATACACATCTCTCCGTCTTTTTCTCGTTAAATAAGTGAACAAAAAAACCCACTTGGTTTTGTGTTTCCAGAGACCCTTAGGAAGTCTCACTGGAGGACTGGCTGCCCCTCTACCAAACCGCCTCCCACAGTTGCTCCCACCAAGTGAAATAGGAAGTAATTTGGCCTGGGGGCTGACCGGGGAGATGCCCGAAAAAAACTGTGGCAGGACGCCTAGTGCCAGGCAGAGGCCTGGCATCACAAAGGAAGAGAAGTCACAAGAAGCTCGGGCTCATATTTCAACCAGGTTTCTTCATGGAGCCTTCCTGGGATGAGGGTGGTGGTGTCCTCATTTTGGAGTCCAGCTGTGTTCTAGTGAAGCCTGGTAGGTCCACTTTGTCTCACCTGAGATTATGTGTGTATGTGGGCAGGGGCGGAGGCGGGAGGGAGGGATCAATGAGTAGTAAAATGCTTGCAAGAGTAAGGGAGAGGGGTGCATCACAGAGGGTGTGAGATAAATAAACTAGGACTTGGATCTGAAGAGTCGGAAACCCAAACAGAGGCTCAGGCGCGTGGTATGTTGGGAAACTAGGACGCCCTGCCTGGAGGAGGAGCTCAGACGTAGGGGAAAGTCCCCCTGGCTGTCCAAACTGTCCCTTCACACCCACGGTGCTTACCCACCCCCTCTCTCTCCCCTATCTGACCCACTTCCTCTCTCTACTTCCCCTGGTGGAGAATTGCGTGGGTAAAAACCTCACCCACCCCAAGCTCTGGGCACAGTGAGAGAGTGGGAGTTAAAGGCCTGGTAAGAGATGGTGACTCTCCTTGGCAGGGGGTCTGCCCAGGATGTTGCCAGTTTGCCTTGGCTGTGGACACCTTCCTTAGTCCTAGATTCAGGAAAGCTGGTCAAAATGGTTTTAAGCCTGGTAATTTAAGAAGCTACAGAATAGAGGCCTTCTTCCTGGGGGGCCAGCTCCTTGGGGCTGGATGATGCCAAAGGCATTGAATGAAACAATTGGGCAGCTGGGAGGTGTTTCACCTATGGCTATGAGTTTGTGTTTTGCAGTCTTAATCCTGCCAGTCCTGTTAGGTCTCAAGCAAATTCCTAACCTCTTTGAATCTCAATTTTCTTGTTTGAAAAATAGAAATAAAAGTTATTTGTAGTAGTAACAGTGATCAGAGGAGTGCTTTCTAGGACACCCCTTGTAAAGTTAGCCAGAATCACCAGGTGTTCCTGGTTTGCCTTGGGGGTTCCCTAGCCCTCAGCTTCTCCCTCTAAGGTACCTCATCACCTTTGCTACCTTCTCCATCCTGATCCCAACTTGGCCTTGAAGAAAGAGCAGTGAGCCTGGATATAAAAGATGGGTATTTACATCCCAGCTGTACTCCTACCTTTGCTTCAATTTCCTCATCACTGAAGTGGGGAGAATAGTTTCTGGCTGTCTTCCCTTATTGTGTGAGTGGAAGGAATAGAAGTTTGTGATACCACTTTGAAAACTGCTTCCAGTACTAGTTCTTCACTTGGCCAGTTTTTCCTTCTCAGCCTCACCTCCTGTTTCTTTTCCTCCTCACCCAGTTCTCCCTCCTGTGGGTTTTCACAATTTGCAGCATTTTGTCCACAGGTCTCTTGATGGCTGCCCCCTCACCCTATAATTCTCATAGTTGTTTAACTCTGAATTTCCTGATGGACAGCTCCTCAGAGCAGGAAATTGATTATTCATTTCATTGCGTGACCACAGTGCCAAGCCCAGGGAAGGGCACATAGCAGGGCTCAGTGAAACCTAGTTTCCTTTTGTCTATCAGCAAATCTGACTGATAGGCCAGAAGGTGATGGGTGCAACAATTTGGGGAAGCAGGCTTCTGCTTCTGGGAGGGAGGGCATAGGGAAGAGAGGCAGAAGGAGGGAAGCAGAGGAGTCTGCCCTGGTATTGTTCAGACTCAAGGATTCTTGCTCTTCTCTAAAACCAAGATCACCCACATCTGGACAGGGAGACATTGTGCTGACTGGTTTCAGGGCTGAGAGAAACCTCTGAAAGCCTCTAGACAGGGTTGTCCAACCTGAGGCCTATGCGCTGAATGTAGCCCAACACAAAATTGTAAATATACTTAAAGCATTATGAGATTTTTTTGTGATTATGTGTTGCAATGTATTTAGTGTGTGGCCCAAGACACCTCATCATCTTCCAATGTGGCCAAGAGATGCCAAGAGGTTGGACAGCCCCTGCCACTATACTACAAGGTAGTCTCTCTATAACAAGTTCCACTTCTTCACGGCCAGAGCACTAAACCAACTCCACCCCTTGCATTCTCCCCCACTGCATCACAGGCAACCCAGTTTCCTCTTCTGCTGGCTCATGGAAACAAAGAACAGCTGTCCTGCCTTCGGATGGTTTAAAAATGAGAGTTTTGGGTCTAACATTTAAGTCTTTAATCCACTTTGAATTTATTCTTGTGTGTGGTATAAGAAGGTGGTCTAGTTTCATTTTTAGGAACATTGCTATCCAGTTTTCCAACACCACTTATTGAATAAACTATCTTTAGCCCATGGTATGTGCTTGCCTCCTCTGTCAAATATTAATTTACTATAAAGGTATGGATTTATTTCTGAGTGTTCTATTCTGTTCCATTGACCTGTGTCTTAATGCCACTGCCATGCTGTTTTGATTACTATGGCCTTTATAGTTTGATATTAGGTAGCGTAATTCCTCCAACTCTGTTATTTTTTCTCAAGATTGCCGTTGGTATTCAGGGTCTTTTGTGATTCCATATAAATTTTTAAAATATTTGGTCTAGTTCTATGAAATATGTCATTGGTGTATTGATAAGAATTACATTGAATCTATAGATTGCTTTGGGTAGTATGGACATTTTAATGATAACTCTTCCTATCCATAAATAGGAAGTAAACATAGACAGTAAAATCTCAGGTATTGCTCAGAGCAATATTTTTTCTTATATATCTATCTCCTTTGTCAAGGGAAACAACAGAAAAAAAAAGACCAACTAGGAGTACATCAAATTAAAAAGTTTTTGCACAACAAAGGAAACCATTAACAAAATAAAAAGACAGTCCTGGCTGTTGTAGTTCAGTGGGTTGAGCATGAGCCTACAAACCAAAGGGTCTCTGGTTTGATTCCAAGTCAAGGCACATGCCTGGGTTGTGGGCCAGGTCCCAAGTTGGGGGCATACGAGAGGCAACCACACATTGATGTTTCTTTCCCTCTCTTTCTCCTTCCCTTCCCCTCTAAAGATATAAGTGGATAAAATTATTAAAAAATACAAAGACAACCCACTGAATGGGAGAAGATATTTACCAGTATACCTAATAAGTGGTTAATATCCAAATGTATGAAGAATTTATAAAACTCAACACCAAAAAACCATATAATCCAATAAAAAAAAACAGCTTTGTGCAGTGGCAGTATCGTAGCCAATGAGGTTTATCCGAGGCGCAATTATTGCTAATTAAAAAATGGGCAAAAGACCTGAATAAACATTTTTCCAAAATTTTATTTTTGAGAAATAAACATTTCTCCAAAGAGGACATATAGATGGCCCATAAGATATATGAAAAGACGTCCAATGTCACCATTCATCAGAAAAATGCAATGAGATAACACCTCACACCTGTCAGCATGGCTATCCTCAGTAAATCAACAAACAAGTGCTTGTGAAGCTGTGGAGAAAGGGGAACCCTTTTGTTCTGTTGGTGGCAATGGAGATTGGTGCAGCCACTGTGGAAAGCAGTATGGAGATATCTCAAGATATTAAAAATGGAACTGCCTTATTACCCAGTGATTCCTCCTTTGGAGTTTATCCAAAGAAACCTGAAACACTAATTTGAAAGAACATAAGCACTCCTATGTTCATTGCAGTGTTATTTACAATTGCCATGTTTTAGAAGCTGTCCCATTGTCCACCAGTAGATAAGTGGATAAAACAACTATGGGACACTTACATAGTGAAATACTACTCAGCCTTAAAAAAGAAGAAAATTTTACCCTTTGTGACAGTATGGATGGATCTGGAGAACATTGTGCTAAAGTGAAATAAGCCAGTCAGAGAAAGACAAATACCATGTGGTTTTACTCATATGTAGGCTCTAATGAGCAAACTGAACTAAGAAGCAAAATAGAGAGAGACTCATAGAGAGCAGGCTGACAGCTCTTAGAGGGGGTTATGGGGTGGAGAGATTGAACAAAAAGGTAGGAGGACTCACGGATATGGACAACAGTGTGATGATTGTTGGGGGAGGGAGGGGAATATAATGGGGATAAATGGGAATGGAAAAATATGATAAAAAAATGAGAAGACAAGCTTTATCTAACCCTTACATCTAGTGACTAGAAACCCTTGCACACAGTCAGACTTTCCTGAGGCTTTTAACCCTGCTCCTGGACACAGTGGCAGACCCTTCACCCTGGTGTTCTTTGCTTGCCACTGAGCCACTCCTGTTCTCTGTGGGAGGTCTGCTCAGCTCAGTCACTGAGTGCGCCAGGATGTTCCTGCTGCTGTCCAGCCACCAGTTCTCATCAATGTGTCCCCTGCCTACTCACTTTTTACCACCATGACTTTGAGTCTGCTGTGGAGACCTTGAACAAAGCTGGGAGGAAGCTGCCTCTGTAGGAGTAGTCAAGGTTTACCCTTTGTGAGGCTGACCCTTGGAGGAGACAATTGCTGAGACTTCCTCAGGCAAACTGCCACCTAAGGGAAAGAACGTGAGTCAGAAGCCCTGAGTTTAGGCCCTGGATGGTGTAGCTCAGTGGATTGAGTGCCAGCATGAGAACCAAAGGGTCGCTGGTTTGATTCCCAGTCAGGGCATATGCCTGGGTTGCAGGCCAAGTTCCCCAATAGGGGGCATACCCAATAGGGGGAAGCCCTGGCTAAATGTGTGAGGTAACCACACATTGATGTTTCTCTCCTCTTTCTCTCTCCTTTCCCCTCTCTCTAAAAATAAATTTAAAAAAAAAGCCCCGAGTTTAGGGACACTTATATACCTCACTGAGCATCAGCTTTCTCATTGGAGAAAGGGTGATGAAGCCTGGTTACAGAGTGGTATCAGGACAAAATGAAATGTGCTTGTGAAGGTGCATTGTACATAGTGCCTGCTACCCCTACAGATCACCAGCTGCCATTTCCCCAAGAGGCCCTGCCTTTTGAAAACCCAAGTCTCCCCTCTTTGGTCAACTAAATGTATCCCACTCTACCTCCTCAGAGCTTACTTATTCAAACTGTGCCACAACCTGTGTTTGGGGATGTGGAAAATCACGTCCAGTTTTTTTCTGAGTTTCATGTACTTATCTGTTCCTGCCCTCTTCTTTCTGCCATCAGGAGAGTACAAGCTCGTTCTCTGTTGATCCATGGCTAGTACCTCTTTGTTCACCACAACACAAGGGGACAATAAGTGTACTGAATTGCAATGTGCACTTGGGAGAAAGTGCATAGCCAGATGGCTTCTTGGGGCAAAACTTTATTCTTTATTTTTACCACATAGGACTTTGTATACAAATCAGTCACTGGCAACAGATGGGTTTTGTGTATTTTCCTCTTGTGAAACAAGCTAATTTTGGATTCACTGGGCATTCAAAAGTCCTGCAGAAGGATTCAGGGAACTGAGCAGAGCCAAGCCCTGAGGAAAAGGCTTTGTGCTCCTTTCAGAGGAGGACAAAGGCCTCAGGTTTTCAGCTCTCAGCAGGCTGTTCTTCCCAGGCCAGCTGGTCTCTCAGAGGTATGGCAGAGGGCAGGCATGCCAGGCAGCTTTCCATCTAAAAGCTGCCTGGCCTTAGCCACCAATGTCAGTGGGCAAATGAAAATTTGAGGTGGGAAGGCCTGTCTAAATGCCCCACTGCTCCAGGGAACAGAATATCCTGGAAGACAGCAGAGAGTTCTAGGTCTGGCTATCAAGCAGACCTAGAACTAGGATGAAGAGAGGCTTTGAATCTCCCTCTGAAGGTCCAGAGAAATATACTTGGTGTTGATCATTTTAACAAGAGTTAACTCACCTGGAAAGCTCCCCAGATGGTCTTTTCTAGTGTAATGAGGGGCCAGGGGTTCAGGCTGATGTGTCAAACTGCTTAGATTCAAACCTGAGCCTGAACAAGCTACCTAATACTCTCTGTGCCTCTGTTTCCCCATGTGTCAAGTGGGAATTAAATAGTATGTATCACATAGGATTATTTGTGCCTAGTGAGTTATCATGAGAAAGACCTTACTTAAGAAGCTGCCTAGTCTATTCTTCCACCACTGTGTAGAGCCAGAGATTTTATCTCTGGTTCTGACTCTTTTCAATCAGGCCATTAAATACAAATATGTATATGTGTATATGTGTATATGTGTATATGTGTATATATGTATATATGTATATATGATAGATAAGATCTGTCCAGAAGGTATTCATCCATGTAATATGAAAAATAGAAGCATTTCTTGAAGAAGATATAAGATACAAGCAACATTGTACATAGGACAATGATGCCTCAGTCTGCTTCAAAGTAAGCACCTTGGGACCTCACACAATTCCCCCAATCACCTTCAGCTGCCTTGTCATATTTTCCTGAATCTCATCATGGGTCTGAAATCTCTTCCCTTTCAAAGGTAATTTTAGTTTTGGGAAAAGCCAGAAGTCATTTGTTGCCAAATCTGTGCTGTAGGGAGGCTGAGTCACCTGGCTGATTTGATGTTTTGCCAAAAACTCTGCACAAGACAATGATGCGTGAGCAGGCACATTGTTGTGATGAAGCTGCCAATCACCAGGTGCCCACAGCTGCAGCCTCAATCATCTGAATAGTTTCTGTGGAGGAACATTCAAACTTAACGCAAAGTCTGATGCAGATTCATTGCTCTACTCGCACATTTTGAATGCGACAGTCACACAGTGCACATGCTAACTCAACAGTGTCTACAGCCCCACAGTGACTAGTGCAGTGTTCACACATGCACATTCCCGTCCACTCTCCTTGGCTGTCAGGTTACATCAGTGTCGTGCAAACTGTTCTTGTTATATTAACAATGGCTAGACTTTTTCTGGACAGACCTTGTATTTCTTATACACACACACACATATTTCTTCTGACTTCTGAACTCCAGATTCGGCAAGAGGAGAATGCTCAGTTCCTTCTTTGTGGATGAAAATCTCATCAGATCATATGAGTTGTTCTCCAGCAATATTGAGATGATAATAGCTAGTCTGAGGATGAGGAGTGGAAAGTCTGAGAAGCTTTTAAGTATAAGAAACCTGCCCGGCCAAGTGTCCCTAGTTTGATTTATTCAATTTCCTCACCTGCCAAATGTTTTTTTAGTGGTAGTATTTATCTCCCAGAACTTTCACATTTATTGTTATTTAATTTTTACATGGATCCCACAGAATAGGCTGTAAAGATCTTATCAGAGGGCAGCTGGATCTCCCATCTCCTGACTCCCTGTTCCAGCAGTCTACTCAGGAGTGATGAGGCTCTGATTCATCTTGGGGTAGGGTTGGCTAAGGAAGCCGAGAGGTGGTTCCATGGGGGCAGAGTTCAGGGTCTCACAGTGATAAGTTGACT